GAAAGAGAACAGTGAGTTCAAATGCTATGAAAGTGCATATATATATACTTTCAAGATTTAAACGAACGTCGTCCTATAGAAATTTATGACACACGGCTCCAATTTCATGCGGATAAAGTGAGACCTTATATACCAGAAAAGAATCAACGCGCGTCTTTTCGAGGACATGGTTCTTTGAATGGGAAAATCCTCGTGTATATAGTTCCGTGGCTCGTAAACAAAACTTTTATTTTACACTAAATCGTCCAGTGGGCAGGGTCTTGGAGGAAGTTTATGAGGTTTGGACCCATATGTATATACATATATGTGTATATATATATATTTATACACATACAATGTATATAGTGCCTTGGGCTCGCGCCTTTACGATCCTCGAATTGGCCCCCTTGGCCCCGTAACAAAACGCATCAGAACCAAACTCTATATATCCAATGGGGTCTTTCCACTTCTTTGGTGGAGCCGTCACTCATGTATATATATACACGACACAGACTATGCGCTTCCAAGAACGTGTATATAGTCTTTACTTAACTTTCCATACTTAAATTATTAAAATTACTGTTATTCAGAAAAACTAGTTCATTTCTTATTCATCTCTTCACTCTATATGTATAAATACCACTTCACATTCGAACGTTTTCATTTTAAATAATGCCTCCAAATTCTGATTTTAAAAATAAATTCACAGGCGAAAAAAATTTTATGCAATTTATGCACTACCATAATCAAAAATTGACTAGTGGCGCGGTACACCAGTATCAGTAACAATTGGGCTGGGTAAAAATTAGGTATACATTAGAATTCACAAATATCTAATATACACGGAGAGAAATAGATGGTACGGGGTACTATCTAGATAGTACTAGGTACCAAATTTGATCTTACATATACGGACAGCAATCTAGATTCTATCAGTTACTATCCAGATTGTACGGGGTAACATCATGATTGTAATGGGTAACATAACCATACTTTTTGTAACATCTTTGATAGTACCGAGTAGCATAACGATAGTACCGGATAACATCTACTTTTTACCATCTTAAGATCATAAATTCTTACCATCTATTTCTCTCCGTGATAGCTCATTATAATGGTGCCGTCAGATTTTTCATTTTTCAAATTATTTACTTTTTTTATAATAAAAGTTTTAAATATAATAAAATTTTGTAAACGCCCGAGTAGAAATCCCCAAGGTATGCCTTAAATGATAATTGGCCCTAAGCTGGTCCTAACTTGGCAGAAAATGTTAATATTTCCTAATTTGGTCCTGACTTGGTCCTGCTTTTACAAGCCATTTTAGTAATATCGGAGTATTTTGGCATTATTAATTATAATTCACAGTAAACTTGGTTGTATCTTTTTCTATTGCAACGTTTTGATGCACATGAGTTATATCAAAAAGAGATCGTTTTGTGTATCATTTTTAGAAATGATACACGAAACGGTCTCATTTTTTGATGCAAAAAATTTAATCAATTTATATCAATCATGGCCGAATTGAATCGACTCAAAATTAAACGAATTTTTTCAGATATTTTGGTAATAGTACAATTGCGGAGACCATTTCACTATTTAATTTGAAAATGAAAATAACAGAAAATCAAAGACAATGTGCAATTCGATAATTAAAAAGTAGTAGTATAGCTAGGAGAGTTCTAGACCACTTACCTACAGTCGGTAAAGTAGATTCCTGTAATTTCTGCTTTATCAACCGTGTTGCTGATTCCTACCTTACCGACCGAGTTAGTTCAGGCTGCCTCCGCAAGATGGCGCCACTAAATTTTTATCAACCAAGTTAAAGTCGCTTGGGAATGGGGATTTTTGAATTTCGCGCCCAATTTATCGACCGAGTTAGTTCGGGCTGCCTCCGCAAGATGGCGCCACTAAATTTTTATCAACCAAGTTAAAGTCGCTTGGGAATGGGGATTTTTGAATTTCGCGCCCAATTTATCGACCCAGTTAGTTCGGGCTGCCTCCGCAAGATGGCGCGAATAAATTTTATTGGCTAATTTCCTGCCTTTTGTGAATGGGTACAAATGCTTGGACAAGTTTAAATTGCTGGGGAGTAGGGTTGAAATTTTTAGATCCAATTTACTGACTATGTTATTACCAGCAGTTGTCTCTTTTTTAGCGTTAAAGTTATACTTGCCTGGTGAAGGGTTAGGGTGAAATCACATGGCGGCGTCAAACGTCATCCAGAAATTCATGAGTGCAAGAGTAGCAGGAACATAGGTTATCTTTTTCTCTCATGAATTTCCGGTTGACGTTTGACGCCGCCATGTGATTTCACCCTTACTTCTTAAAATTCCACTCTAGTGTCAATAACTGTTTACCTACCCATCGCTGGTCACATTGCATGTAAACCCGGCAAGTTCAGATTAGAAATAGCATATATATGTGAAAGTGTACACTTTTTGTTAGAGTTGTGAACACTTTTAACAATTTTGTTTAATATACAAGTTTCCATATGTATCAGAAGAAGAGAGAGAGATGTGAGCAGAAACAGTGTGTGCAAATGAGTGTTGTGATATATAATTTCAACTATCCAAAAACTGTTTGTAATAATAGTATTGCTCCCACCAAATGTTTTTCCACAATTAGAACAATACGAGAAAGAAAGAAAGAAAGAAAGAAAGAAAGAAAGAGCAAAGTATATACTTTTCATGCTGTTTATTTCCTGAAGAAGATTGTGTTTAGACCCTAAAGGTCACACTGACAATTGTACACATTATTGTTACCAGTGTATTTGATGAGTAAAGGACATGTAATAAACAAGTTTGTTTCCGTGAAGACACCGTTGAAAATGAATTTCAAACGACCAAAAAGAAATTTTAAAGGATTTAAAATTAAGGTAGGTTAAACTTTACTATCTATCATGTTGATTATACACTCTTAGTACAAAATAAAGTGCAATTTTACTACGCTTAAAAATGTGTTACTATATCCAAAGATGTAAATAAATCCTAATAAGTGTTCTATTGTACAAGCTCAAAGTAAAAGAAAAATTATAAATGGGTAAATTTATTATATCTTAAAATCTAAAAAAAAAAACATAACCTCTTTCTCTATAAATAAGTGAAATTTTTACACATTTAAAGAAAAAAAATGTTGAACCTAGGAATTTATGGAAATATTTTTATTTACAATAAACCGAAAACCATTTATATTTTTAACAAAGTTTGTTTATTTTAAAATTTAATTTTGAGGAAATAAAACGCTGTCTATCTCAAATACAAATTGACAACCGTGCAAAATTATCCTTTAATCAATGTCATTTTTCTTTGGAGTGCGTCTTATTTATCAAAAGAAATTGCACATTTATTTTTTTACTATATCTTCATTAATTTTAATTCAGACTTTACCCAACGGCAAGATGATGAGGTTCACAAGGTGGGATTTTCCTCGTTATATCCCATACGTTCCGGAAACTAATGTTAGAAGAAAATTCACAAGATGGGATTTAAATGTTCCAAGAAAATCAATAGCCATATCACCAGACGTTCCACCACCAAGTCCTTACATACCAGGATTTGTAGAAGAATCCTTATTACATTTTTATCCTGAGGAAGATGTTAATTCAGATAGTAAAGAGAGGTGCTCAATGGAACAAGAAATCAATCATCTTCAGAGTCCAGATAAAAATGAAAATGTGGAACTTCAAAAACATAATTTACTGAATATTAGCGAAATTCTAGAAACTATAGCAGATCAAGAACAATATTTAGTGGATATTGACGAAATTCTTCAACAGAGTTTTGTAAGCGAGGAAAATACGGCTAATCAAGAACAATATTTAGTAGATATTGATGAAATACTTCGTCAGAGTTTTGTAACTGAGGAAAATACAGCAGACCAAGAACAATATTTAGCGAATATTAGCGAAATTCTGGAGAGTCTAAGAAAAGTAGAATGTACAGCAAATAAAGTACAATATTTAGCGGATATTGATGAAATTCCTCTTCAGAGTTTGGTAAACGAGGAAGATAACAGATCTGGGCATTGAAATTACAACTGCTTTGTCAAATTCCTAAAGCCCAATTAATATTTAACTTAAAAAATTCTCGTAAGTTTTTAATATAAAAAAGGTATGTCATATAACCATTTAATATATGAATTCATTGTTACCAAAAACAAAAGTTACTTTTAATCGCTTCTGCAAGAAGACTTTAGTGTTGTGTGTGTGTGTGTGTGCGCAAAATTGAAAACAATTTTATTTTGTAAAATGCTTAGGAAACTATTGTTTTAACATAAAAGAAACAAAACGTTATTTTTTTATTTGCTTCTGCAAGAAGGCTTAAGTGTTGTGTGTGCACAAAATTAAAAACTTTATTTTTCTTGAGAAGTTATTGTTCTTAACCTAGAAAAAAAAACAAATGTTACTTTTTTTTCTGCAAGAAAGGCTTGAATGTTGTGCATGAGTTTTCCTATTATTTTTCTTGAGAAGTTATTGTTCTTAACCTAGAAAAAAAAAACAAATGTTACTTTTTTTCTGCAAGAAAGGCTTGAATGTTGTGCATGAGTTTTCCTCTTATTTTTAAAAATAGGTCTATTTTGAGACATTAAGATAACTATTTTTTGTTAATTCTTCCGTACTAAAAAGAAAGATTAAGTTTATTTTTTACTCCTAAAAGGCTTGTGAGTAATGTATGCACAAATCTGAATATTCTCAAAGTAGTTAGTCTTTTTTTCAATGTTTAAAATATTTTTTTTATTTTGTAGAATTGTGTTTTTATTTATTTATTTTAATTTTTCTTGATCATCCTATTATTAAAATTTCTGAACTTAGTTGTGTTTTTATTTATTTATTTTAATTTTTCTTGATCATCCTATTATTAAAATTTCTGAACTTAGTTGTGTTTTTATTTATTTTAATTTTTCTTGATCATCCTATTATTAAAATTTCTGAACTTAGTTGTGTTTTTATTTATTTTAATTTTTCTTGATCATCCTATTATTAAAATTTCTGAACTTAGTTGTGTTTTTTATTTATTTTAATTTTTCTTGATCATCCTATTATTAAAATTTCTGAATTAGTTGTGTCAGACTTTGTAAATTTAAAATTTAATGTGTATTTTATTAGTTCGAATAAGAGTGTGCGCTTAGACAGAAGTGGGAGGGGCCCGCTGCGGTGTATAAATTTGAGGAGCGTGAGTTACGAGGACGCACTACTTTTACAGATTTCGAGGTTAACACTTGAAGCATTTCTCTATTTAAATTATATTTCAGAAATAAAAAAAAAAAAAAAAAATGGAAAACGAACATAACCGACCGTCAATTGAAATTCGTATAAAAATATACGACGAACAATACGACAGTGAAGGAAACAGTATTGTTTCTAGTAGTGACAGTGAAGCCACTACTGTTATATTCACCAATGAAGATCAGGGTAACAATATTCCAGTATATGATGATGACGATATATTAGAAAATAATATTAGCGATGAAGAGGTAGCTTAAATATTAAATTAAATATTAACTTAAATATTTTGTATATAAAATTTTATTAAATTATTTATAATTGATTTTTTTTTCAGATTTCAGAAATGGATGCATTACTACAATCCCCAGATTTACCAGCTACGGAGGAAACCTTTAATAATGAATATCACCACGGTTATATGGAGAATCAAGATGTTGAAGTTGATGACGATGTATTGATAATCGATGAAACCTTTAATAATGAATATCACCACGGTTATATGGAGAATCAAGATGTTGAAGTTGATGACGATGTATTGATAATCGATGAAACCTTTAATAATGAATATCACCACGGTTATATGGAGAATCAAGATGTTGAAGTTGATGACGATGTATTGATAATCGATATTAGCGATGAGGAAGTACGTATTTATTTATTTATTATATTAATTTATGTATACACATATACTTATTTACTCATATGCCTACTTTTTTTCAGGTTTCTGAAATATTAGAAAATCCTCTAGACAACGAGATTGACATGTCACCGGAGCCTCCCCAAACACCATCTCCAATTCTATCTGAATCATCAGATATTTTCACTGATTTCAATGGTAAAAGATACCGACACAGGTCACAATCCCCTTAGTTTATTTACTAAATACTTTTAAAAACTGTTACTAATGTAATAATAACAGTAGAAAAAAGATGTAATTTTTAACATCTCTTAAAGAATTAAAGTTTTTTTTTCCTTTCAGCATTTGTTTTTTCAGGTGATTATTCTAGGATTTCATATTTTTAGCATTTCTTTTAGTTTTTTTTTTTGTTTCATCTTTTCTTGCAGCTTGTTCTAGAATTTCAGTTTTTCTTTCAGGTTTTTTTTTGTTTTCAACCTTTCATGCAGCTTCTGTTCTAGAATTTCATTTTTTTTTTTTCAGGTTTTTTTGTTTTCAGGCTTTCTTGCAACTTTCCTTCTAGAATTTCAGTTTATGTTTTCAGCCTTTCATGCAGCTTCTGTTCTAGAATTTCATTTTTTTTTTTGTTTTCAGGTTTTTTATGTTTTCAGCCTTTCATGCAGCTTCTGTTCTAGAATTTCATTTTTTTTTTTCAGGTTTTTTTTGTTTTCAGGCTTTCTTGCAACTTTCCTTCTAGAATTTCAGTTTCTGTTTCAGGTTTTTTTTTCGTTTTCAGCCTTTCATGCAGCTTCTGTTCTAGAATTTCATTTTTTTTTTTTCAGTTTTTTTTTTGTTTTCAGGCTTTCTTGCAACTTTCCTTCTAGAATTTCAGTTTCTGTTTCAGGTTTTTTTTTCGTTTTCAGCCTTTCTTGCAGCTTCTGTTCTAGAATTTCATTTTTTTTTTTTTTTGTTTTCAGGTTTTTTATGTTTTCAGCCTTTCATGCAGCTTCTGTTCTAGAATTTCATTTTTTTTTTTCAGGTTTTTTTTGTTTTCAGGCTTTCTTGCAACTTTCCTTCTAGAATTTCAGTTTCTGTTTCAGATTTTTTTTTCGTTTTCAGCCTTTCATGCAGCTTCTGTTCTAGAATTTCATTTTTTTTTCAGTTTTTTTTTGTTTTCAGGCTTTCTTGCAACTTTCCTTCTAGAATTTCAGTTTCTGTTTCAGGTTTTTTTTCGTTTTCAGCCTTTCTTGCAGCTTCTGTTCTAGAATTTCAAGATTCTATAAAATTTTTTAGAATTTTAGCTTTTCTCAAAGAATTTTTTTAGCTTTTTTTTTCTCAAATTTCTTATTAGGTTTTTTTTTTCAGTTGGCTATCCTCGATTATTTTCTCAAAGAATTTTTTTTTAGCTTTTTTCTCAGATTTCTTATTAGGTTTTTTTTTTTTTTTTCAGTTGGCTATCCTCGATTATTTTCTTTGAGTTATTCTTATAGAATTTTAGCTTTTTATTTCATAATTTTGTTATTAGATTGGCATCCAGGATTTTTAATTTTTTTTTCTACTCTTTTATTTCAGTTTCAGATTTTTTTTTTACTAAGATTTCAAAAAAATTTTTTTTTCTACTCGTCTCTTATTTCAGTTTTAGTTAATTTTTTCTTTTTTTATTTTTTTTTTTTACTAAGATTTCTGATTTAATCCTTCTCTTAAGGACAGGTCCAAGTCGTTCAGATTTTTTTGCATGGAGCTTCAATGGAAAAATCGGAACGACTTGGACCTGCCCTTAAACTCCTTTCACATTGGCTTTTTATTGAGAAATTTAAATTACATGTTATGATTTTTTTCAGATAAAAGAAAAATGGAAAAATCACTTTCTCATTCCTATTATGATGATGATGATGACAGTAATGATGGAGCGGAAAGGACGTTCATCTTAATTTTTGAGAGTGATGAAGATGATTATGATAGTGAAGGGTCCACTATATCTGAAAGCTCTGATGATAGTGAGGTTGATAGTGAGATTGATAGTGAGGATGATGATGATGATGATGTATCCCTCATTGTCAGTCGGATTATTGTTATTACAGGGGTAATGAATTTTACAACATTGACATTTTTATAATAATAATAATAAGAATAATAATAATAATAATAATAATAATAATAATAATAATAATAATTTTTCAGGTGGATTTGTTACAACTCCCCTCCGAGTCATCAGTTACAACAGATTCTAAAAAATAAAATTCATATATAGATTTAATTAATAAATAATCTTTTTCAACACTAATTGCTTTATGTAATTGTATAAGAGTGCGTTTGTTTCTATGTTAATAAAGAGGGACTTAGTAATATCATATAGGAATTGCGCGCGCATATTAGGAACTTCACAAATTAGCGCACATTATAGTGGTGGGGTTAAGGAGAAAAGTGGGGGCTAGTGGTGATATAAGGCGACTCTTGAGCCGCAAGTGACATTCTCTTCTTCAGATCCCCAAGTAACAGTAAGTATAAATTTCTTTGTTACAGATCCTTTATTTTCAGGTTTTATTTTCAGGTTCTATTTTCTGGTTTTTTTTCAGGTTTTATTTTCAGCTTTTATTTTCAGCATTTGCTTTCAGGTTTTCTTTTCAGCATTTATTTTCAGCATTTATTTTCAGCATTTATTTACAGGTTTTCAGAGCATTTAATATATTTTTTTTTTCTTTATCTTTCTGTTTTAGGTTTTATCAAAAAAAAGAAAAAAAAAAATGGATTTAGAAAAAGTAAATGCTGTTGGACGTATGGAATGTACTCTGCCAACGAAGCCTCTTTCCGAATTGGTTGCAAAGGGTCGCTACATGATCAATAAACTTACAAAAGTGCAGACACGGTTTGGATCAAGAATCATGACTGAAGTTGATAATGAATTTATCACTTTCCTGCCAGCTAGATTTGTGAAATTTTTCGAGGATGAGCCAAACACCCTTGAGATGATGCAAGAAGCTGCAAGTTCAAACAAGTTGTACATGAAGTACTTGGGAGGAACATACAACGCCTTGGAATTTAAATTTAAATAAACTTAAATGATTTTTACAATTATATTTGTAAAAAAAAAAAAAGCATTTTGACATCAATAAAAGAAATAATTTTATTTAAAAATTGGTTTCAAATTTATTTAATTCCCTGAATTAGTTTTAAGTTTTATTTTAAGGAATTAGTTTTAAATTTTATTTTCAGGAATTAGTTTTCAGCTTTATTATTTTCAGCAATAAATTTTATTTTTCAGGCGCTATAAAATAATAATAATTATATTTAAGGGTAGGTTTTGTAATTAAAAAAAGAGATATTAAGTAAATTTAAATTACTGTTTATTGTTTAAACAACTTTAAAATTTTACAAAAAAGATTCACAATTTTCATAGAATGCTTTCAGCGTAGAATCAACTTCTTCAATACCTTTAGCAACAACACTTATATATTGGTTTGGAGGTTCCAAAAACCAATCACGAAGAATTTTTACATTTCTCACAGCACAGTTTTCATTATGAAGCGTATGATGAGTACATGTAGTTATCATTTGAGACTTAATTTTTTTCAACGATGGACAATCAAAGTCTTCTAAATTTTGTACATTCAATAGATATTTCTCGAACCACGTTTTTTTCTCTAAGCCCTTAACGTAGATGACACTAGCACCTCGTAGTACATCTTGTAGAATTAAACGAAGTTCATCGTAAGAGACGTCTCCAGCAGTCCAGTGGATTCCATGGTAATTATGTGTTAGCCAAAGATTTTCACTTTTGTAGCGTCCTGGCAACGATTCCCACGTACAAGGAGGTTCGAATAGGTAGACGAGAGGCTGTGCGTCTGCTTGAAGTGGTAATATTGCCAACTCTTTAAAAACAAAATCGTTGTAGGGTCTTTTAAAACCTTGGACGTCTACGATGAACTCCATCCTGAAACAGAAATGAATTTCTGCCCCAAAGTAACTGCTTTTATACCTGCGATTACCCCACCACTTTTACATAACCCCTACTCCTTTACAGCAACTTCTTCACAACGCCGCTGATTGGTTTGTATTGCACAACACGGTCGTGAATAATGAGGCAATAGGCAGTGGTCTCAGCTGGCATGTTGATTCCTGCTTCAAATTCTAAACGCACGTCAACTGATGCCTGCTTCAAAAACTCATTTTGCTTTGAACAATCAATGACAATTAGAGGGAATAAGCTTTTAAAAATATCCTTTGTTAAGAGAGGCTTAGAATCTTTTCCATAATATGAAGTTTGGAAATTTGCATACATTTCGTAAAGTAGGGCATACTGATTTTGATCAAAGTTTAAATTTAAATTTCCATATGGGTAATACTGTGAATTCAAAAAGAGTTTAACGTTTGTAATGTTGCAATGATCAAAATGACAGGCATATTTTTTCTGTTTATCTTTTCTAGCTGTTTGAAATCCAACAATTACATAACGTGGTTTTTCCAACTGAGTTGAAGTTTTAATTTGCCACATGACTTTTGAACTTAATGGAATTAAAGGATACTCATACATTTCCCATGACCGAAAACTCATTGAAATTAAAGGATCTTTTTCAATAAATTTTAATAATTTCACTTTATTATTATCAGCGGGTAAAACGTATGGAACCATCCATTCAATTTTATTGATTGAAATTTTAAATTGTTCATTTTCTCCTTGTCCTGTTTGAAATATTGCATTCATATCATTACGTGCTCTTGTTAAAATGAGTTCATGTTTAGCATTTATAATAATTTTTTTATAGTCTTCAGCGAATCCGAAAATCATGCCAAGTGGTATAGTAACATCAAAATATCCATTTTCTAATGTAATTCTTGCGTCCGCTGTAATTTTAGAAAATCCAGCATTTTCAATGAAATTCAGCTGCGGAGGCGTTACAGAAACATAATTTTTCATAATGGTTGTATGTCCAACGTATTTGCATCGGTCAATCTCAATACCATTTAATTCATAGCGAATTTCATCAAATAAAAAACATACAGCGTTGCTACTCAAGTGCACAGTTTCCGTAAGTGTAATTCCATCGGTCCTTGTCAATCTTCCAAATACATGCAATGAACTTTTACTTGGTAAAATACACAAGTCTTGATGTTGTACTGCAATTCGAATTTCATCGCTATTGTTAAAAGATGAAGAAGCATACGGTTGATGAGCATGAATTTCATAATGAGCTATAGACTCATCAAAATTCACTGCTGCTGGAATGTTGAGAATTTCGTCCATTTTTATTACAGCAACACCCCAAAAATATGTAGATTAATTGTCTTGTCGTTTTCTCTTTCCTTGAGTTATAACTTTTAGACCTAATTTTTTTAGGAATAGGCGATTCTGAGGTGTTAACACCTTGTGAGACAAATCTCGACTGATTTGCTTCTTGCATGGTGATTGACTTTTATAGTTTCCACCAACTTTTTGATTATATACAATTCCCATTACATTGACTTTATGTGCAATCGGATTGTTATAGTTTCTCCTCGAAAATTAATCAAATCACCGTCCTGATCGACAATGCGGAGTTGAATATTATGTATTGTCTTGACAACAATCGGAAGGTAAATGACGTGTGCTGGCACTTCCACAATCTTATATCCTGGTGGAACGCTAGGGAAGAATTCATGGATGGTGTGGGCTTTTTGATTATTTATATATGCTCCAGATGTAATGCTACACTCAACTCTGACTGAATTTATCTTGAGAATTGCTACAGGTAAATCAGAGATGTGTGTTTCATTAGGTGATAATTTACGCGGCATAAATCCCAATAATTTACCAATTGAATCTTTATGTTTAAAATCAATTGGTAAATTTGATTCAACTAAACTGCGTAATGTATTGTTATTAGGTTTTATACTAATAACAGTTCCAAGTTTTACTGAATTTTTTATACATGTTTCAATATCTGTAATTTCATAACTTCCAGTTGGTATATCAATTATATGATTACCAATGTAAAATTTATTGTTACCTTCATCAATATTGGGAATAGAATTAAAAGTCAGTAATTCAACAAGACCGAGGACATAATTTTTATTTGGATTAAGTTCTATTGGTGGGAAATATTCAGCTTCAAGAACTGAACTGTTTCCACTTAGTGTTAAAGTAAACGAATCACTCATGATGCTGTCAGTTTATATACTAAAAGATTACAAAAGTTACATGTTCTTATATAGACTAAAGCTGCTCTTAACATTAAGTTGTTTACATAAAAATTTTAAACATAAATGTCCACACACATAAGTATCATAACTTTGATATCTCTCATGATTATATTTTATTAAGCTACCATCACCCAAGTATGTGATTAGATCTGTTGGTGGAGGAAGGTTGCCAAAACTATCAAAATACATTATTTCGTTATTACATTTTTTATATGCCACCCAATGTGTTCCTGGGCCTTCTTTATTATCCAAGTTAATAATTCCCGACTCATATCGATAAGGTCCTTTAAAAGGTAGTTCATTTCGCATAAAAACTCCTCGAAAATATGGTATTTTCATAGTTTTAGCATATTTCAACAGATCAAAATCAGTTAGAGGACGGTGAGGTAGCTTCAATGCAAGTTTTTTTTCTTCCTTAATGTTGGTTTCTTCCTTAATGTTGGTTTCTTCTTCTTTTTTAATCCTTTCCCCTGAATGTATGGTTTAATATGAAGACCAAGTCCTTGTCGGTAGGGTTTGAGATGTAATCCTTTTCCAAGAGATATTGCTTCCATTGCTTTATTATGTCGTTGAGCTTCAACAAGTTGTTCCTTGGCAGTTTTAGCCTTATTTACAGCTTTCACTATACCTGAAGCTCCACCAGCAAGAGCTCCCAAAGCACTAAGTCCAGCAAAAATGGGAACTAGTGGTAAAATACCACCAACTTTAGAAGGTACAGGTAGAATTCGCGGTGACAAAATTTTTGATTTACCACCAGCATTCTTTATTGCTTCTTTTGCACCAATCAGAGCAGCTTGAATTGATTCTCCAGAATTATGATTGGGTAGCATACTTTTTCTAGCAGCATCAACAACTCTTCTTAATGCTAGTCGCTTTTTCTTACACATGGTTTTTCTTTTCTTCTTCATTGTAGACTTTTTCTTCCTTTTCATTCCCATACCTAATGTTGATTTAGCTTTCATCGTTCCAGATATCGCTAAAGCTGCTGCCTTTTCACTAATACTAGAATCCTTAGATGTAACACGTTGCCACGCCTTTTCAGCTAGCTCTTGGTCTGCAAC